TCCACGGGCACAGATTAAGACCTCCACTAATGCTAGTTAGTTGCAATTGAACCCTTTAATTGACCTTCTATGGAGAAAAGCGAGCAACGAACCACCAAGAACCACCACACGAGCCACCAAGGATGGCCGGCCGTATGGACGAGGGGAGGAGAGAGATAGTCGTGAGATAGAGAGAGGAATTAGGGTTTTGGGATTGGTTGCCTTGATGTCAAAATACACTGTGTGTGAATTATGACTGCTTCACTGCAACCCTAGGCATAAATCTTATTTATAGATCCTATCTCTAAATAAGAGCCCATGTCAAAAGCCCAAAACCTAATTCTCATCTAACTATGCTAGCCCAATCCATTTCATGATTAGTTAATTTCTCATGAGGCCCATTAGTGGGCCTCTTACTTGCTTAACCCAATACCCTTGTTGTGTGACCTCATTGGATCCATTCTAGTAGGCTTTGGACTATTTGACTAGCCCAAAGATCATTGATCATAGTCTAGCAATAGATAATGACGACCCAAAAGAACGAACTTATTATCTCCATAATAGTGATCCTTCATATATCTAGTAATTGCACTTATCGAAGACAGAACTCCTTCACTGCCATCCAAGCCTCTATTCTGCCTCATGTTTTGGTTATTTTGATTCTGCCTCATGTTTCTTTTGATATAAAATAACCAAGGAAAAACAAGAAAAGGGGAAGAGAAATCAAGTAAAACCAATATCAAATCAACAAAACAAGATAAACATATCTCAACAATCACCAAGATATATGAAATAGGGGTTCTTAATCAAAGCTAACACAAAGTAAAGCTAGTATTAAGGTGTAACCACAAAGATTACAAGGTAGCAATCACAAAGAAAGCAACTAATCACAAACATTATGGGTAGAGAGAGAAAGTCTCATTGATTACAAAATCAAGCAAAGTTCAAAATGAAATTAAGTGAAAAACATACTCAAAAGGAACTTAAATAGTCCGTACAAAACTGACTAAAAACGGGAAAAGGTTCGGCCGAACACTGCGTAGGTTCGGTCGAACTACTGGGTAGGTTCGGTCAGACTAAGGGTAGGTTCGGTCGAACTTCCCTGCTCATGGTTCGATCAAACTTTTGGAGTTTTACCACTCCTGCAAAAATGGTGAAATTTGGTTTGACACTGCCTAGGAGGTTCGGTCGGACATGCTTCGTCTCGGTCGCACCACCTAAGTTCGACCGAACCCGCTCCTTGCAACTGCCTGGACAACTCAACTTCAAACGTTCATAACTTTTTTGTTTCTTGCTCAAATTTGGCATGTGACCTGTTGATGGAAAGCTCTTGAACTCTAATTTCACCTCCAACTTGAATCACCTAAAAATTCTGTGTAACAAAGGAGATATGACTAAATGAAGTAGTTGCATCATATATTGATAAGCTTCTTCCCTCTCATCCTTGTTCCCATTGTTTATCTTTAACCATCAAATTCTAAAATCAAGACACAAGGATTATTTTATTCACCTAAGTCACTTCATAGCATAGAGAATTTATCCAAAAGTATATTGGAGCCATAAATGCCACCAACTGGATCATATAGTCACACAACTCGTAGTTTTCAAGGATGCTCCCGCATCATCTATTCTGTATGTTCTGCTTCATTGTTTTGTACCATCATGGTCTTGGATGGTACTGCCAATATGTGGCAGCACAGAAAGAACAGAACCATCTTGGGCTTGGATGGTACTTAATTTAATACTGATGGTACTTCAGTGTCTTATATTGTTGTGAATGGTATTATATTTGAGTCAGTCTTATGTTGCATAGTTGATTTGAAAGTTTACTTAGTAAAATTCAACCTTTTTGCTGTTAGGCCTGTTTGAGGAAAGAGAGATGTGGATTACTTGCTATGTTAAGGATGTCTTTTGCGTAGGAATGCTAACAAATCAAAGGGTTGAGAACATTAATAGCTTTTTTTATGGGTATATTAACACACATACTCGCGTTTGTGAATTTGCTCCTAACTATTGCAAGGCCATGGAAAGCCGTGCAAGGGATGAGCAGGATGTGGACGCGAACTCATCCCGGCATGTAAGGCCTTTGCTATTCGAATTCAGGTTGGAGCATAAATTTCAAAAAGTGTATACGAATGCAATGAGGTACAAAATTAGTGCAATCGAGTGGCATATGTGAACCTTGTTGAGCAAAAGAAGATGGTGTCACCTATTGAGGAAGAGCATGTTTTTTCAGATCGTGTTTGGATCTATTGCAAGAAAAAGAGGAGAGAATTTCCTTTGCAAAATAAGGAGCAAATTAGGTTGAAGGAGTACACAATTTTGTATACCAAAGATAAAAAAAGAGGTGTATTGTGATTGTTAGCACTTTGAATGTCATGGGATTGTTTATAGACACATAATTAAGGTGTTAGACATGAATGGTGTTACTGAGGTCCCTCCCATTTACATTCTAGATAGGTGGAGAAATTATATTACTAGGAAACATACCCTTACCAAAGTTGCTTACCATGATGTGTCCAAAACGGAAAGGTGATGAGAAATATTATAAGTTGATGTTAGCGCTCAAACCTGTTGTTATGCGTGCTTCAACATCCGAAGAAGCTGTTGAAGTGTTGATGAATATGATTCAGTCTATGAGCATAAAGGTTGATGAACTATAAGTGTTGGCTCAAAGTTCAAGACAAGGTTCTGGTGGTGATGAAAGGCCTAGTGGTGAAATGAAAATGGTGCAACAGGCTATTCCTCTAACTCCCAAAAATCCTAGCTCAGTTAACAAAGGGAGCACTGTATAACCAGAAGATACACCAAATTCTAAAGTGAAACATCCTGAACCTACCTCGAGGTAATAATAAAAAGGACAGGCCAAGAGCTTCTTGGTTTGTATCACTTGTAAAAAACAGGGTTTGAATAAGCAGGACAAGACATGTGGAGGCAAGAAGAAACAAGTTACAGGAAAAGGGACTGATTTGGATAATGGGATTGTACATACCTTCAGCTCGCAAAACGAGGTAAGTGTAGTGTCTTTGGTGTGGTGAGTGTATACTGATTAGATTACGGTCGCTGATTGCTGCGAATATGCTTACAGGTTCCTTTTCCTAATCCTTTTCCTAATATGTTTGTTGCTTAACAAATGGGTCCATATTTTCAACAGCAGGTGTACCAGCAGGTAATACCTTATGCTAATTGCTTTCTCCTTTTGTCTAATTTTTTTTTTGAACAACATCAAGCCTTAAAGTGGTGTGTTTGCTGCCAGGGCCAATATACAGTTTCAAGCTATGGGAGTGGCCCCTCAGCGTTCAACGAAAGGATTTTAGCGGGTGGAATTCACATGAATAACAAGCACACTAATTCAGTAAGACAGTAAGGTACTTGACTAACAACACGTACCGGGGCCAACTACATTTCCCTCCTCAAGGCCATGTATTCAACAACGGATTTTCCCCTAGCCTGTCCATACATCATTTGCAATAGGATTCAAATCATTCAATAATTAACTGATTTGTACAATAAAATCAGTACCTGTACTATATAATTGTTTAGATAAAGTAGTGTTTTGTTAAGAATACAACAAAAAATTATGTTTACATACCATTAAGAGTCAGGATGGTACCATTTTCCGAATTGGTTTCCACCAATATAGTCATAATGGTACCCTATGTTTCTTAACCTACCTATAAGACTGTAAATGGTATAGCTGAAGCAAAATATTTTGACAGCAATGTGACTTATTGCAATCTAAAAAAACTGTACTATGGATAATGTAATCCAATAAGATTCTCTTCACATATCCACTAAAGATATGTTATAATATGCTATGCATATACATTATTGACCTTATCCCACTAAAGATTATAGTTTTCCACTAAAGATTATAGTTTTCCACCAAATATTATATTTTTGCAAAAATGAAACAAAAATGTCGAACCAAATGTGAAAGAATAGACATTATGCTTAATGGAGGAATTTGTACCGGTGAAGTGATCGTAATATTCGGTGAATCTGGGGTGGGAAAAACCCAGATATGTCTGCAGATGCTGTTGAAGTGTCTTTTATATCTGGGGGATGGTGGTCTCTCTGGGTCATCGATATACATACAAGCATGTCCAGTTTTCCCGGCTCAACGACTACACAATCTTAATGTGCATTTGTGTCCTTTCCAATGTATTGATCAAAACCCACTTAGCTTGGTACATGTTAAAAAATTGATAATGTTGTGAACAGATATTTCTGGTTCTAAACCAAGTTGAGTTGATGGTGGTAAACTTCCATAAAGGATGTAGGCACACAAGGGTTGTTGTTCTTGGGATTCAATAGCGTATCTGTTCAGGCATGAGCACGACAGCACATATAAAGGTTTTATGGAGCGTAAACGAACATTACAGGCTGTAGCAAGGAAAATGAAAGAAATAGCAAGTAAGTATAATCTTGCGTTTATTGTGGTTAACGAGGTTATTGATGTGTTTGAAAACCAGGCTACTGGAGCGGTCGTAAGCACGTATAGTTCATGCCGAGAAATAAAGGCCTCACTTGGCACTTCGTGGGAATGTTTGATTCTGAACAAGATGTTTATTTCCAACCAGTACGACAATAACACTAAAGCATGATACCGCGAATTGATGGTCTTAAAGAACACAAATATCTCAATTCAAGGGCGGCGTTGTCCATTCTGTATCACTAGCGCGGACTTGGAATCTTAAATGGCGGTTGAACGTCATATTATGTTTATCTACATTGCATGTTTTGGTTTATACCAACATGACGGTTTGTTGGTATTCAGAATGTCATAAAATACTATTCTCGTTGTTAATGGGATAAGTTGTTATTGTAGTTTTTTATGGGAAAGCACTGTATTATATTAATGTACAAAATGCATAATTTTTAAAACATACATACTACCTTAGAGGTTTAATTACTCAGAGGACCATAAATAAACTAAGTTTAAAGAAAACATAATTTAAAACATGTCATTCAGCTATCATACCAATATGACCGCCACACATACCAACTAATAGGTTCATGGTATAATTACGGTACCATCAAAAGGTAGAGTAAAGTGTTACTTGGTTTGTTCTTGTAGAAATGGTTTTAAAGTATTACTTAGATTGTTCTTGTAGATATGTGTAACACCCCCGATTTACTAACTAATAATAAACAATAAATAAAAGAAAAATAGACAACCTTTAAATAAAATTGCAGAAGCATACACCTAAATCGGAGGTATACCGCCGAACTCAACAACCTGTCAAGTGTTAAGGCTTACAAAAATCCCAATAATTACAACCTAATAAATCTAAGTGAGCTATTTGTACTACTTTATAAATTAAACTTGTTATAACAAACTAATCGAAACACATGAGCTCCTTTAGCTACGATCATCACTGGATCAACCTGTTACTATTTTAACTGCTCACCATTATGGACAAATTCCAAAATAGATCGTCGCAGGGCCACCATAAGAAAAAGACATGGCTGCAAACATAAATAGCACAATAAAACAACACACACGTCAGCAAAAGCTGAGTAATCACCACGTGACAGAAAACAGAGTATAACAAAATAATAAACATTACTAGCTCAATTAAACAATGTAGTTCAAAACTGCATTACACATTGTACTGTTAAAATAACCTTTGTCAACTCAACCTCGAATAATATAGGAGTTTATAGGTACTACGCAGCGGAAATAATATGAATCATATTCATAAAGCACCTAAACCAAGAATCGCATGCATAACACATAATCATACCTTTGATGCGTGAATTCCATGAAGCTATTCGACAGGCAAATCAGGGAGAGAATAGAGCCCCAAGCGTTGCTCCTCTACTTAATCCACGAGATTCAAACAAGTTGTCCACCAATACTAGATTGGTCGAGTGATTGAGGAAAACTGCGATCACTACCTTTACGGACAACCGACCACCGCACGAACCACCACCACCACCACGAACCACCACCGGCGTGAGGAGGAGGAGACATTCGTGTGAGAGAGAGGAATATGAGAGGGTTGGGCTTCATGTTTGCTAATTAGGGTTTGATCAAATGATCAGTTAATTGCTTACATGCAAACCTAGGCACCTAGTCTATTTATAGTCCTATTATAATTAGACTAGGGCACGAAGCCCAAAAACCCCCTTCTAGTCCTCCATATGGCCAGCCACCTAGAGTGATGAGGCCCATGATGGGCCTCTGAAGGAGTTGTGTCTTCGATAAGTGCAATTACTAGATATATCAAGGATCACTATTATGGAGATAATAAGTTCATTCTCTTGGGGCGTCATCATCTGTTCCTAGACTATGAGAGATGATTTTTGGGCTAGTAAAATATTCCAAAGCCCGCTAGAATGATCCTATGAGGTCACACACAAAGGTATTGGGTTAAGCAAGTAAGAGGCCCATTAATGGGCCTTATGAGCATTTAACTAATCATGAATAGGATTGGGCTAGTGTAGTTTGATTGGGATTAGGAATTGGGCTTTGTCATGGAATTTTATTTAAGTAGTAGATGTGATCTATAAATAAGATTTATGCCTAGGTTTGATTAATTAAGCCACAATTAACTTATAGTGAATTGTGAATCAAGGCTACCAAATCCCAAAAACCCTAACCTCACTCTCTCTCTCTCTCACGGCACCCCCCCCCTTGGACTTGTGGCCGGCCACCCATAGTGGCGTTCGTGTTGGTTCGTGACTAGTTCGTTGTTCATACTTCTCCGTAGAAAGTTGATTGAAGAGTTCGATCGCGACTAAATAGCATTAGTGGAGGTTTTAATCTGTGCATGTGGACCAAGTAGAGGAATCACGTTTGAGGTTTTTTGTCTCCCTTGTTTTTGCTCGATTACTAGTGCAATCACGCTTTAAAGGTATAATTCTTACTCTTTATGTGTTATGCATGAGATCCTTGGTTTGGTGCTTTATGAATATGATTCATGTTTATTCCGCTGCGTAGTACCTATAATTCCTTACAGTGGTATCAGTTAGCCTCTTGCAATTACTATATTGAGTATTAATTTTTTGATAATCCACAATTTTAATTCAATTAGGAGGGAGAATAATTTAATTATGGGTCAATTATTATATTAAATGTGCTTTAACAATATAGAATCAGTAAAGTTGTTTAATATGCTCCAATATTGATCCAAAAATTGCCCTATATTACGAACCCCCCACCCTAATATTTCGAAATCATAAACCCTAATTTGTGAAATTTGTGTTTTTTGGTTTTGATTTAATTCGAAAGTTTTATGTTTAGAGAATTTAATCTATTTGATTTCATGTTAAATTATGAATTTTTCATGATCAACTTATTTAATTTAAAAGTTAAATTGAATTGGGATTAAATTCATGAAGAACCCTAATTTTGAAATTGAATATGATTTAATTTTAAAATTAGAAGGACCACACTAATTTAAATTTAATAAAATTGTTTTGTTTTAAATTAAAAATAAAAAAAGAGGGAATTAAGGTGCGGCAGCCGCAGCTGGGTGGCGCAGCCACGGCGACTGCCACACCGGCGGTGGTACAGGAGGGAGGGCAGACTAGGCAGGGGACGAGGAGGGGCAGCGCAGCAGTGCACCACCGTGTTGCGTGTGCTGCTGTTGTTGTTCGTGCGTCACTGTAGGGCAGTGTACACCGCAAGGTGTACGGCCACCGTGGCCGGCTTCGGCTGACCACACCACGGTGGCTGGCGCGTTTTTCAAAAAAAAATATTTTATTTTATTTTTGATAAAAATAAGTTTTCAAAATTAAAAAAAAAATGTTAAAAGATAAATTTTGATTTTGAAAAGATAATTAACAAAGTTAAAGTTGTTAATTTTGTTAAGATAGGATAATTATGGATCAAAAGATTCTATTTGGAAAATAATTGATTAAATAATATGATTATCCCATAATTATTTTAGGATATTAATTGATTTAAAATATGTGATTGACAAGTAATTAGGATAGAATTTCCTAAAAGTTAGGATAATCATGGAAAATAAATATGATTTATCTTCCATAATTAAAATAAGATTTGATTTTATCTCATACCTAAATTAAAATATATGATATTTTATAATTGGTTATTAATAATATATGATATTATCTAATTACAGTAATTAATTAAAATATGAGATATTTAGGAGCCATGTTTCCTTAAATGTGAACATTCAATGTTGTAGTTTAGGAAAGCATGATGAGTGATTTATTATATGGCCATTTTATAATATATGATGTTATTTATTGCTATATAGACTAGTATGACCCATAGATTCTAAATACGATCTGCGCATCGTGATGTATTTTTGTAATCTAAATACGGTCTGCGTATCGTTAAATATTTTTGTAATTTATTTTATTTAAGTAGTAGATAGAATAGAATAGTACTGCAAGTTGCAGTTAATCTAAGAAATCCATGGAGTGAAGGCCCAAAAGAGCAAGATGGATGAGATCCATGAAGGTCCAAGTGGGAGCTTTTTGCTTTATTAGTTTTCTTAGGATTAAGGGGCCATACAATGTCATGTTTTATGCATAAGTAGATTATGCATGTTAGATTTTATTTACGTTGTTTTATGATGCTTTAGAGTTCACTAAATAATCACAACATAGTAAATCTAGGTCCCGGTAATATTGAGGTTGCTTTTCCAATTAAAAACCCGATGAAACCTTCGATATTTATGATAGGTCATGCCTCAGCTGGGTGTCATACTATATCTTAGGGGAGTGAGGGTAAAGCACATTTTACAATTTTAATTGGTTATACTCAACAAAGTTACCTAAAGTGTTTAGAAACTTGAAGCTAAGGGTAATAATTAAACATGTGATGGGTAATTATTCAACCAAGAATTACATTGAGTTGTAATCACTAAAGAGTTCTCACCTTGAAAATGCAATACTTGATGGTAGGGCCTCAGTCCGGTCAATTATTGCACAAATAAAGGATCCTGGAATCATTCTATTCAATAGGGATCAATTAAATTGAATGAATGCTTTAGAGTTACCAGTTTTAAAATCGCTTATGGTACTTTAAATTTATTAAACATAATTATTGAATTTTGCCTCGTTTGTTTTTGTTTGTAGATAAATATATAACTTATACGACAACACTGTTTTACCAATGAAACTTAACTTAAGGCTTAATCTCAGAAAATTCAGGGATGGGAAAATGAGTTGAGAAAAGTTCTCACAAGCCATGGGCTTGAATCTCGTTTATATATTCTTGTTGAGAGCGAGTATACAGAAGGTTATAAAGCTGAAAGGCATGCTGAAATTGTTTCAGATGCAGAGAAAATCAGAAGACTCATTTTAGAATCTATTCCAATTTGTTGGAAAAGAAGATTCAGGCACTATGAGCTAACCAACTTGCATAAATGTCTTCGTGCTATCTATGGAGGTGGCATTGGGGCATTAGGAAGTGGAGGCTTCAAAGGTCATAATGTAAGAGAGGTCGTTAACTCGATCCCTCAGATTTACTATTCCTGGACTAACAGCGTTAGGTATGAGGCTTACACTGTTCATTGGAAGATAATGGCTAAGAAACTCATGCATGGTTAGTCAGTAAGGGCCTATGTCAAGGAACTGATTGAAATGTTCAATCAGATGGATGTCCTTGAGAAACCGATTGATGATGACTCTGCACATGATATTATCTTGTTCTCACTCCATGATGGTTTTGACATTGTCGGGCTATGATGAGGGGTCGTCGGTGACATTGATCAACCTTTTGCTTAACCATGTTGAGGAGTTCCTGAAAAGGAGAGGAAGCGAATGCTTCTTTTGCAGTAGTTGGCTGATGTGTCTATTTTATATAGTATTTTACCCCCGTCCCTTGGTCATAATTAGTAGTTGGTTGACTTTTGCAGGGAATTATACTTTTTAAGTATTTTTCCGAGATATTTTGGAGCAATCACGAACATTGGAGAAGCGCGACCAGATTTTATAGCCCAGGGCCGGTTAGAGCCATCAAACCGGTGATTAAGGGCTTGGTATGTGTGATACCGGGGCATTTGGACAGAGTATTCAAGAACCAAAGAGGAAACCCAGATTGGCCCGAAGAATTGGAGCCCAATCGTAATCCAAATAGTGGCCCAAGAGAGCCGCCCGGCAAAAAGGCTGACGCCCGGAGGCGCGCCCGGCCGGACAAGAGAAGCAAAGGCTAGCGCCCGAAGGCGCACCCGATCGGGCGGTGCCTCGCCCGATCGGGCGCGGGTATTTCTTAGGAGATGTTTAACGTAGTTTTAGTTTGTTTTAGTTTAGGATTTGTACGGAGTATAAATACTCCTCTGTAATACGATTTTAGTACTTCTTCTTCTCGTCTTTACTCTTTCTTTACTCTCTTAATTATTCTCTTAGAATTCTCTCTCTAAACCTTTGTTCTTAATCTACTCTTAATTCCAGATTACTTTTTGGTAACGATTTCTCTTCCCTTAATCTTAGTTGTTTATTTTATTCCTTTCATCATGATTTATTTTATTGCTTTGATTTGTTTAGTTTCTATTATGTGTGAGTAATTTTAATTCTAGGGTTTATGGCGATCTAATAAATAATATGAAGGGGTAATTTATTGTAGTTAATTATCAATGCTAGATTAATTTCCTATTGATTGATTTAATGCTCTGTGACTAGATTAGACTTATCTTTTATGCATGATTTTGACAATATTGATTCAAGATGCGAGAGATGAGAATTGATGTTTAGGTCTAGTTTCAATAGGCAGGTTAATTTATAAATGGTTAAGTCGAGATTCGAGAGATGAGATTTAATACCGATAAATTAATTGTGTGATTGTAATACGTAGCGAAAGCCCTTTACAATCTGGTTAATTGATGCATTGATGATTGACTATTATTGATTTTTGGTATTGCATGATAATTTCTTATTGAATTGTTTTAACGTTTTACAATTGCGGCTTGTAAAAGTATAGCAATATTAAATTGATGAATCGAGCAGATGTTAATTTGATATTAAAAGCTATTTTCAATAAGAACTTAGATCTAGTAAATTGTGAGAGCCTGTTAGATCTATGTTGATTAATAAATTGCGAGAGCATGTTAATCGTGTTATTTATGCAATGTCAATGATTGATTACTATGTTTTACTCTAGAGTATTATTTATTGGTGAACATATGCCCTAGATCCTTTTATATATTGTTTTCTCCTTATTCCTATTCTTTGTAGTTTAGTTTCATACTCAAATATATATATTGGTTACTTAGATAATTTAGATTATAATAATTAATTAGGAGTAAAAAGACTTGTTTCCGTGTGGAGATCGACCCTACTTCCCTATCTACTTTAGTTAGAGGACTTAGAAATTATTTTTTATTAGGGGATACGACTTTACCCTGTCATTGGCCCTGCCATACACCAGGGTGTCCCTATTATACACCAGTGGAAATAGAACGTAAAGAGTTCTTGATGTTTGTGTTGTAGAAATTAATCTTACTTCATCTTCCACTTGGCAATTTGATACCAACTGTGGTGCTCACATCGTTAATAACGTGCAGGGCTTGAGAGAGAGTAAGAAGTTAGCCAAAGAGAAAGTAACGCTTCGAGTAGGAAATGGAGCAAAAGTTGTTGCACTTGCTATTGGAAGTTATCACTTGATACTTCCATTGGGACTTATTTTGGTGCTTAATAACTGTTATTATGTACCAACAATAACTAAAAACATTATTTCAATTCCTGTTTTAAATTATGAAGGATTTTCATTTGAAATAAGAGACAAATGTTGTTTTATTTCTAAAGAAAATATGTTATTTGCTAACGCAAAGTTAATTAATGGTTTGTATGTCTTAGAATATACAACTCACGTCTACAACATTGATCATAAAAAGCAAAGAACAGATGGTTCAAACCCAACTTACCTATGGCATTGTAGGCTTGGTCACATCGACCAAAAGCGCATCCAGAAATTACATAAGGATGGACTCCTTTCTTCTTTTGATTATGAATCATTTGAAAATTGTGAGTCATGCTTGCTTGGGAAAATGACTAAGTCACCCTTCACGAGTATAGGTGAAAGATCCAGCTAGTGACCTTTTGGGACTCATACATACAGATGTGTGTGGACCAATGAGTTCAAAAGCAAGGGGTGGATTTAATTACTTCATTACTTTTACTGATGATTTAAGTAGATATGGTTATATTTACTTGATGAAGAACAAGTTGTAATTCTTTGAAAAGTTCAAAGAATTCCAAAATGGTGTACAAAACCAACTTGGGAAAATAATTAAGGCATTACGATCTAATCGTGGTGGTGAATATTTGACCCAAGAATTTGATGAACATCTGATTAATTGTGGAATACTTTCATAGTTAACTCCTCCAAGAATGCCACAGTTGAATGGTGTGTCAGAAAGGAGGAATAGGACCTTACTAGATATGGTTCGGTTCATGATGAGCTTTACTGATCTTCACATATCGTTCTGGGGATATGCATTAGAAGCAGCTGCGAGAATACTAAACAGAAGCCCGTCCAAAGCTGTAGAAAAGACTCCATATGAGATATGGAATGGAAGAGCTCCAAGGTTTTCTTTTCTCAAGATTTGGGGATGTGAAGCCTATGTAAAACGTTTACAAGGTAATAAACTACACCCTAAATCAGACAAGTATTTCTTTGTGGGCTATCCAAAAGAAACAAGAGGGTATTACTTCTACAATCACGAAGATAAAATAGTGTTTGTTGCTCGTGATGGTGTCTTTCTAGAAAAGGAATTCCTCTCTAAAAAGCCAAGTGGGAGTAAAGTGATTCTCGAAAAAATTCGAGACAAGCAACAAATGGATGTGGATAACACCACATCAAAGGCAAGGGCGCATGACTCGATTAATCATGCGTCGGAGCAAGCTAATTCGACTAGCGAGACTCCTATCGTCCCACTTGAATCTAATTCATGCGAAAATCAAGGAGTTGGAGAGAATATATCTATTGTTGCTCCTACCCCACGTAGGTCTACCAAAATCAGAAACAAACAGTTTGTTGAGATTCTGATAACTGAGGATTCTGAAATCTTCTTATTGGAGAATGAGGAATCTACAACCTACAAGCAAGCTTTGGCGAGCCCCAACTCAGATAAATGGCTTGAGGTCATGAAGTCCGAAATGGAATCGATGTCTGAAAATGAAGTGTGGACCCTAGTTGACTTGCCTGATGGGGTAAAACCTATTGTTTGCAAATGGATTTACAAGATTAAAACGGACAAGGATGGAAAGTCCTACATCCATAAAGCAAGATTGGTTGTGAAAGGATACAGACAGATTCATGATATTGACTATGATGAAACCTTTTCCCCAGTAGCCATGCTTAAGTCCATTCAGATTATTCTAGCGATTGCTGCATTTTTCTATTACGAAATTTGGTAGATGGATGTCAAAACCGCCTTCTTGAATGGGTTCTTGACGGAGGAAGTGTATATGACACAACCTGAGGGTTTTGAAGATCCTGAAAATCCTAGAAAGGTATGCAAACTTCAGATATCTATTTATGGATTAAAGCAAGTGTAGGGAATAAATTTCAAACATTAAACCCCTAGCTTGAACCCCACTGTGATCATACACTAAAGTACGGTGGCGTCCAAAAGAGAAGAAGATAGAGCAAAAGAGTCGCCAACAAGTTTTAGGAACTTGTAAACCGTTCATAGGATGAAGGTTACACCACTTAACGATCCAAGAGATCGTCAACTCCATAAGGTCTAGAACCAAATAAGGGTTCGGGGATGAAGATACAAATCCAACCTAAAAGAGATTGAACTTGTCATAATAATAGGCCTCTACTTTATTCTGATCGTATTCATGTGCGCTTTCTAATTAACATGCAATCAATAGGTTAACCCTAAACCTGTTTAATCTATGTTGGTTGAATATTAATGCACAAATAAATCTATTATTAGCGATCACTTGAATTATAATCAAATTAACCCTAACAAGATTTTATTAATTATCTTATTAAGCGTGATTACAAGTACCAAATTCCCTCTAAACATGCATAAAAGACGTGATCAAGCAATAACAATAAATATCAAGCAACATAATAAATAATCGATCATTATAATAATCATAATAATAATAATCATAATAACAATAATTATAGCAATAATATCATTATAAATAAAATAATCATCATCAAAATAATAATAATAATAATATTTATAATCATCATAAATTATAACAATTATAATCATAATCATAATCATGTTAATATTAAAACATAATAATAGCAAGATACTAGGCATGATACTAACAAGATTAATAACAAACCCTAGCATGTCACTAAGCAATAAAGATCAAATCTTTAGCCCTAACATGATACTAACATGAATAAATATTAGAAAAAATATAGGAAGCATCGTAACAATCATATTTAATATTAAAATTACCCTAGACATGATACTAGGAATATCATAATAACAATATAAACATGATTTCTACATCATAATATCAATTAATCAATTAAAGCACTTACTTTGATGTCTCGTACCTCTTTCTAATAACAAAACACACACGTTAGTAACTTCAAGGAAAATAATAAACAAACAATTAAATTAAATAATTGAAAGAGAGATTTGGGACCAAACCCTCAGAAATCAAATCTTTCACGTTTAGGGCGAAGGCAACTTCGAATTTGGCTAGGTGTTTCTAAATATTGTGAATGCGGAATTTCGTATTAAAAAAGCAAGTTTTAGAGAAAAGAGAAAGAGAGAGATGAATGATTAAGAGAATTAATTGAATGAAAACTGATTGTAGGCGAATGCTAATTAAAACTGATTATTGATGATAATTCGTGAGAATTGGTGAATGAAAACGGAGTTTTACGACATTATTTATAGAGAAAATCAGCCAAAAAGATAAAATATCAAAACAGAGCACTTGGCGCACGCAAAACGAGATTGGCGCACGCAAAACAGAGCTGGCGCCAGGCCTGGTTCTAGGCGCCAATACCTGGAGTCAGGCGCCAGGCCTGTTTTTGACGCGTTTTCGATAATCAGATAAGTTTGTCGTACTGGAGGATAAAATCGTATCTTTTCCTCGAAAATGCTTTTTGATTTTAATTAAAACTCTGAAAAGTCAACAAAAGTCAATTTATCAATGCTAATTGAATTAGGAATGAAAAGAACTTTCTAGAAGAATCTAGAAGACTAAAACCATTCCTAATTTCATTAGGAATGATAAATCATATTAGGCCCTCCCCTAGATCATTGGGTCGTACATAAGGTTCAAACCGGGCCCAGTTTGGTAAATTGGCCATAACTTCCTCAATATTCATCGGAATCGGGCTTATAATATATCGTTGGAAAGTTCTTGTCAAGCCCCATTCAACTACACTACTATTGGACCCATATCATGGACCAACCAAACTAGATTGACTGTTTTCTTAAAATAAGTTTTCAAAAACAGAGAGAAAAGAAAAGAAATTAAAAATTATCCGCAACACTAGACTTTCCACACTTTCGCTTCATTCGATTATGATTCGACGTGAAAGGTACTCATCACCGGGTTTAGTTTTGGGGAGACACAAATGGGTGTCTACAGCAAGCATCCAGGAGTTGTATTCTTCATTTTGATGAAGCAATCAAACAGTTTGATTTTCTCAAAAGTGAAGAGGAACCTTGTGTATACAAGAAGTCTAGTGGGAGCAGCATAGTTTTCCTAGTCCTATATGTGGATGACATACTACTCATGGGAAATGACATACTAATGCTTGAGTCAGTCAAGGAATGGTTAAAGAGTTGTTTTTCCATGAAAGACTTGGGTAATGCTGAGTACATTTTGGGAATCAAGATCCAACGAGACAGGTCTCGAAGGATGATTGGACTAAGTTAAGAGACTTATATCGATAAGGTTCTTGACAGGTTCGAGATGACAAACTCCAAGACAGGATTTCTCCCCATGTCCCATGGCATTACGCTCAATAAATCTCAATGTTCGGTTATGCCGGATGAGATGAGACATATGGCTATCACTCCTTATCCTTCTGCAATAGGATCAATAATGTATGCCATGATTTGTACAAGGCCAGATGTTGCATTAACTCTAAGCATGTGTAGCAGGTTTCTGGAAAATCCAGGTGATGCACACTGGATAGCTGCCAAGAACATCCTTAAGTACTTGAGAAGAACGAAAGGAATGTTTCTAGTATATGGTGGCGAAGATGAGTTGGTTGTCAAAGGTTATACGGATGCGAGTTTCCAAACAGACAGAGATGACTTTAGATCACAGTCTGGGTACATTTTCTTTCTGAATGGAGGAGTAGTGAGCTGGAAGAGTTTAAAGCAGAGCACTATCGCAGACTCTACAACAAAATCAGAATATTTGGCTGCAGTTGAAGCAGCCAAAGAAGCAGTTTGGATAAAGAAGTTCCTAACTGAGCTGGATATCATACCAAGTGCTCAAAAGGGAATCGAGTTGTATTGTGACAACAATGGCACCATTACTCAATCAAAGGAGCCTAGGTCACACTTCAAATCCAAACATGTTGAGAGGAAGTATCACCTCATTCGAGAGATCGTTAACAGAGGAGATGTGAAGATGTGCAAAGTTCATACGGATGAGAATATCGTTGATCCACTTACTAAACCCCTTCCACTACCTAAGCATGAGAAACATGCTAGTGAAGCTGGATTGAAGCAAATGATGTAATTAGAAGTTGTATTTATTTTTGGAGAAAAATAAGTTACATATGTAATACATTCATTTGCAGAATTATGTTTTATCAGTAAATTTTTTTATTTCTCTTATTTAATCGTGGTTTTAATATTAAATAAAATGTCCAAAATAATTATGGATTGATGGGCTCATCAGGTTGATGACCTGGTGAATAGGTGAACTAAATTCATACATTATTTAAGTTCCTAATTCGGAATCATTAAACTGGACATAAATGATTTCTAATAATGGACTAGCATGTAAGATTGATTGGATAGCGCAGTTTCATGGGCTATAGGAGCGTAGTGAAGCTCGGTCAATCATATGAATATGCATGAATGATGCATGATCGAACTATAAGCCTACTTTGAAGTTCAAGTAAGCTTCCGGATATATTAGTGGATTCCTTTGACATGAGTGGAACATTGATTTCATTTAATTGATGTTATGGTTGTGGTACACTCAAACGTCTGCCCGTAACTAGAGATTATAAAGGGTGTTTCCCGGTTATTTCAGAAGTTGAGTGGGAGCTTTGGTTGCCACAAGATTGAATAGAGTCTACCTATTAAATAGGAATGTGTCTTGGCCCCTTGAAGAGGGAGAATTCAGAAAAATGCATGGACGTGCTCAAATGCATTACATAGTAATCATTTGTTCTGTGAATCTCACTCAGTTTTTCAAGAAAAGATTTGTAGACTAATATGATCAAGACATGAGATGCAATCATATTATCAAATCGACACACATTGACTTAAGGAATTTGAATATTGCGCACATGTCTCAGACAAGTGGGAGATTGAAGGAGTTGTGTCTTCGATAAGTGCAATTACTAGATATATCAAGGATCACTATTATGGAGATAATAAGTTCATTCTCTTGGGGCGTCATCATCTGTTGCTAGACTATTAGATATGATCTTTGGGCTAGTAAAATAGTCCAAAGCCCGCTAGAATGGATCCTATGAGGTCACACACAAAGGTATTGGGTTAAGCAAGTAAGAGGCCCATTAATGGGCCTTATGAGAATTTAACTAATCATGAATAGGATTGGGCTAGTGTAGTTTGATTGGGATTAGGAATTGGGCTTTGTCATGGAATTTTATTTAAGTAGTAGATGTGATCTATAAATAAGATTTATGCCTAGGGTTGATTAATTAAGCCACAATTAACTTATAGTGAATTGTGAATCAAGGCTACCAAATCCCAAAAACCCTAACCTCACTCTCTCTCTCTCTCACGGCACCCCCCCCCCCCCTTGGACTTGTGGCCGGCCACCCATAGTGGCGTTCGTGTTGGTTCGTGACTAGTTCGTTGTTCATACTTCTCCGTAGAAAGTTGATTGAAGAGTTCGATCGCGACTAACTAGCATTAGTGGAGGTCTTAATATATGCTTGTGGACCAAGTAGAGGAATCACGTTTGAGTTTCTTTGTCTCCCTTGTTCTTGCTCGATTACTAGTGGAATCACGCTTCAAAGATATAATTCTTACTCTTTATGTGTTATGCATGAGATCCTTGGTTTGATGCTTTATGAATATGATTCATGTTTATTCCGCTGCGTAGTACCTATAATTCCCTACAGCCTCGTCCTCTAATGCTCGATCTAGCCCCTTTGTGTGACCTTATAGGATCTGTCCAATTAGGCTTTGGGCTATTTTACAAGTCCAAAGATCGTTAGTACCTCTACCTATGGCAAAACGACGAACCAAATGTACGAACTTAATTATCTCCATAATTTGATCCATTTATATATCTAGTATGTAATCACACACGACAAAGACATAACTCCTTCAAATCCATCAATCAATTAACTCATAGACAATAAGTGTGTCATGCTCTTTGTTTAATACCTAGCCTTGGACATGGGTAATTCGAATAAATAAACCAACAAGTATAAAAACTTGAATACTCTCAATAACTAGAAAACACCTTGAACCAGACCACATACGGGCCAATCCCATTGTGGGGGACCATAAAAAATAAATAAAGATTGTACCTCATTCTTAACTCATGATTATCATCTCCTTACCAACATGCCAAGGACTAAGGTCTACAACGCCGAGCTTCAAACCAAGAAAAAAATTATAATCATTCTCAACCTTTTTGATCTCATACATCGATCAAATAATCATTCACATCATAATAAATAGTATCTCAATAATGGCATAGGTTCCCAAATAACATAATAATTCAATTCAAAACATCTCAACTCTTATAGGACAATAAAACTAGCTAATACCCAAATATAATCAAATGTCAACCCAATATAATAATACTCTTCATTAGCAACCCTAAAACCTAAACAAAACCATGCTCCCTATTGCAAAAACATTTTTTAAAAAAAAAATCCCTAGAAAATAACTCAATCAATCAATACCACAAAAATAATACGGCAATTAGAATCATATTATACCATACACTAATCATGTATATATATAAATCATGATCATATATAATTCATAAATTATAAAATTTACACTACATAACAATACAGAGTACAATTAGTACTAACAATTTATAATCAAACAAATCCAAATATCAATTAAGTTCGTGTGATTACCTTTCAACAAAACAACAAGACTTGGTAGATAAACGAAAGGATGGGAAATTACGAGCATGTATTTACTGTGTCATTTGCTAGTTTTGATAGGAGGAGGATTTTATAGGTGGAGTTATATTAATACCCCACCCGTAAAAATTGAAAAAGAAAAAGGAGGATAATGATGATTATGATGTTAAATGATCCAAAAGTATTTTGTATAAGCTGATCAATTTAATTAAGGCTATAATAATGATTCATCACTAATTAAATAGGTGTTGATAATCGGAAGAATTAAAGACTTAAAAATCAAGGAACAAGGGTAACCTCACAACATCACATAATTCATGAACGAAATAAAAACGAAGGCAACGTTTTTATAGATTCTAAAGTTGCACAGCAATATAAATATCAAAATATAGTTTTAGAGTTTAAAATATCTTTAAAATTTAGAGTCCTATTTAAAATAAAATAGGGTTAACAATGTTTTATCATTTACAAAATTATACCTAAAAGAAATTACCAAAATAATTATTTAATAAATATACGGGTATTACAATCTACCCTCCTTAAAACAAATATGCATGTATATTTATACGGGTATTACAATCTACCCTCCTTAAAAAAATTACCAAAACAATTATGCAATACATTTATCTGAATAATTCAAATTGTAGTTTTGTATGAATAATACCCCCTAAATGCCGGTTATAAAGTGGATTGCTAAACACCGCCAATAAAAACGATCATCACCGCCAACATTTTGTGTGAATGGACAATCGTACCCTTACTAATCACCACCCCTTACCCTCCCGGCAACCCAAAACCCCTTCCGATCGGCGATGAACACCACCACCCTGCAGCGACCCATCACACCCTCCTCTATGACAACCCACCACCTTCCCTCACCGGCAGGAAGGTGGCGGTTTAAATTTTTTTTATTTCAGGCAATCGCGATAACCAAACCCAAAATCGGTTACCGTGCATGGTAACGGTTTTGGGCTCCGGTTATCGAGCACGGTAACCGATTTTGGGCTCCGATTACCACGCACGGTAACCGATTTTTTGGCTCCAGTTACAAAGCACCTTAACCGGTTCCATGGTAACTGGAGCCCAAAACCATTTATCGTGACCGGTAACCGGTTTTGGGCTCCGGTTGGTACGATTGCTAGGAAAAAAAACCACCACCTTTCCGCTAAAGAGGGAAGGAGGTGGGTTGTCTTTGAGGGGGATGTGGTGGGTCGCTAGTCAAGGTAGTGACGTAATGTTAGTGGTCGTCGTCGTCGCCGGTCAATGTGGTGGTGGTGTTAGTCGTCAATTGGGGTGGTGGTATCAAGGTATTAGTGATTGGTGGCAAGAGGGAAGATAGTGGTGAAGTACTAAGGGTATGGTTGTCCATTTAAAAATAAATGTTGACGGTTTTGATCATTTTGGATGGCGATATTTAACACCCCTCTGTAATATAATAGAGATCAAGTTATGAACTGTGCATTTAATTAGCTATATTATTTTATGTCAAATTCTTCAAAAATTCTAAACAAATAAGCATATATTAATGGAGGAAGAATTTGTACATAATATTGGATTATTTAGACTAATATGTACTCCGTATTTTAGAAATTTTGAGTTGTAGGTAATACTTTAACAATTAAAGTATATGCATGTTCTAATATTTTGTCATTTTTGTCTAACTAAGCGAATTTTATTTGTCCCCTCGATTTTAGATTCGGTGTCACATACAATTAATTCACGAATTTAAGCAATAGTACTTACTCTCCATAATAGACTAAATTTGACATACATTTTCCAATTTTAAACAAATATAACAAATTTCCAACTAGTAAAACTTCAATCAGACACAAAAAGGCCGATTTGCCAAGTAAAAACCCTTAATTGCCAAATTGTTCAGAAAGTGAAACCCTAAAAAACCCAAAATTGGGGATAACACAAACAATTTTCAACTACTGATACAACACAAACAAATTTCAACAAGTGATACAACACAAGCAAATTTCAACAACTGATACAAAACAAAATATCATTTCAAAAATTAAACAAAAGGGTTCAGACTTACATCCTCATCGTCACTACCTTCCAACGTCGCGAGCAAACAAAACCACCAACGCTTGATTAGACAACGCTACAGATCTTCAAAATTTGCATGACTACAAAAACAAATGATGCGAAATTGTCTTGCTCTTAGCGGTTTTTACTTTGCTCCTCTCTCTCTCCCTCTTTGAAGCAAAATGGGTTTCTTTCTCCTCTCCTTGCAGAAATAGTGGACTTTATTTTCAAATTTAATTAACATTTTTTTGCATAAAGTAATATAAGTAGTGGGTTTTTTTTTCAGTAAAGTAATAGAAAAGGTGTGGACCAAACCCTTTTCAGATGAAAAATTTTGTTTTCCTTTTATACCCCTAAGTTGAGTCTAAGAGGCCTCAACTTTGTTGAGGTTGAGAATTTCAAGGGTGTTTGGTATGTAAGATTATGAGGTGGAAATAAGATTATTATTCCCAAGTCTCAATAAAACCATGTTTGTTTGAAGGGAAAGTTTAGGGGGTGGGAATAAGCTTGGGAATATTTACCCTCTATTCCCACCATTTTATTCCCTATGGAATTCTCTTGCTAAGTAAAAGATATAATTACCTTCAACTTAATAATGCATAACAAATTTGAGTCTTTGAGATTCAAAACATTAAGGATAAAATAATAATTTTGGCCTTAAATTCTAATTTTATTCCCACTTATATGCCAAACAAGAGATTAAGAACACTTGTACTACCTCCATTAACTTTTAGTTGCAACTTTGGGGTATTATTTGTAAGACATAAAATATACCAATGTTGCAACTAAAAGTTAACGGAGATAATATTTGAATTTCCACCAATAAAAGTTGGCTCAAGTGGTAAGCAATATGATGTCAGTTAAGGGAGTTCTTGGGTTCAAACCTTACCGTATGCAGATGCCAGGTATACTACCCGAGTCATATACGAATGCAGTCATAGCTAAACTTTAGTGAAACGGGTGGGCATCCTAAAAAGTACTCCCTCCGTTTTAAAATACTTGCTCCATTTCTCCATGCACGGAGTTTTAGGAGAAATTGGAGAAAATAATAATATACGGAGGTAGTGGGGTAGGTGAAGAATAATAAATTGTAAAAAGCAAAAGTAGTGAAGAGGATTGGAGGTGAGAGAATATGTAAAAGATTTCCAAATAAGAAAATGGAGCAAGTATACGGCCGAAAAAGGAAAGTGAAGCAAGTATTTAAAAACGAAATGAGTAGTTAATAAATTTCCACTTACCAATTTCCACTCCCACTTTATATAGCCCAAATTCCAAACGCCCCGAAAAGCCTACGCGTCCACTACAACCTCCGTCACAATAGTGGTGTTTGCCAAATGAGTCAGTGATTGTTGTAGAGTTGTAAGTCGGTCCAAATGTCCATGTCTCGTATGCTTCCACTTCGGCTAATTTCTCTCTCCAAAACTCATGTAATTCTCCTTACCTTTCTCTCATCGATTTGCTGCTATCTTTCCTGTTGTAATTCATCACATCAATCCCTTTTCTGGGTATTTGCAGAATCAATTTGCACCTCTGTTTCAATTCCTTTCGATATCTAATGGATGGTATTTCACTTCAATCCCTTTATTTTACGTTTGTAATTTTTATCATTTTCGAATGCACTTTTCATTGATTACTTTCTAATTAAATATAATTTGTTGATTTAAATGGGTTTATGGGTTGTGTTTGCCTAATTTGTTACTTTAGAAAATCATTTTAAGGCTTACCTTGTTTGTATCAAGTATTTTTTTATTTTTCCAATTTCAATTTTGATTATGGAAATAAGATTTTTGATTTTTTGAATGGATGAGGAGATAGAAGATTATTTTTGAACAATATTGTGATTAATGTTGTAATTGCTCTTCATGCTGGACATTTATAATGATGGTGATTATTGGAGTTCCCTGTAATAACCTCTCATTCCCGAATCCCGACTTTAGGCACACCAAAATTATCAATAAATTTATTTTTTCTGTTGATGTATTCACATATGTAAGAGATATGCATATATATTTTCCGATATCATATATTACCTCCAATTTTTTTTAGTTACAACTTTGGGGTATTATTTGAGACATATAAAACATTCCAAGTAGCAACTAAAAAAAATCGGAGGTAGTATCTCTAAGAACATGCATGGACACACTCTGAAATATCATCCTTCCTTTGAAGACGCAATCTCTATCTAATTACAGCTCAAGCTCCCCAATCAACGGAAAATTACAGAACCATGTGGAACTGTTGAAATCTAGAAAGAGCCATCATGAATTTAGAACCTTCTGTACTGCCCCAGGTGCGTCCAGTCTTTACTGCTTGCCTATATAATGACATACGGAGTATTACTAGAAAACAGTTGAATTTGACACTTGAAACTATCTATAAAACTGTTGCCCCAGGCCGTTTGTTATATATAACTATGTTGGAAGGTCTAACTACATGTCTAGATCATTTATAGAAAAGACATTATTATCTTATTGTATTGGTGGTAAAGTTCACTTTTAATTTCAATGATCACATGTTCGATAACTTGTACCTACAATATTTAGTTTCTAATTGATGGTTTAACATAGAATTAAATCCTTTGCATGAGAGGAGGGTGTCATGTGCTATATAGACTTTCTTTGGGACATATTAATATATACTACCTCCGTTTCAACATATTTATAATAATACCCCAAAGTTGCATTTAATATGAAACTGAGGTAGTATATGTTTCATGAACTCCATAGTTCTTTTGCTAAAGCGGAAGGTTCTCCCCCAGTCTTTTAGGGGAAAGGTTGCAGCATCCATTTTCTTGATTTGTACTACTCGCTTAAAAAATTGTTCAATGTTTATTCCTGCCTTTTTTACAAGTTTTTTGGCTTGCACAGACCTGGCATCGAAGAAATGTGTGCCTTGTAACTCGGAGGATATACGACCTATGAATGAAGAGTTAGCAAATCAATTAATTACCAAGGTTTGTACTTGGTATTCTTTCATGTATGTTCAAGTCAAAAGCAGAAATCTCATGCTTTAAAAGTACATGCATATGACATAAATCTTTATTACAAAGACAAGCAAGTAACTCCGTTTGTTTACATATCCTTCTGTGCTTTTGTCTTTACTAACACCACCCTAACATTAGTAATGCATCTTACACGTTTGTTGTTTATCAAGGTTCCTGATTGGAATCTGAGCGATGAAGGAGATAAAATGAAGCTGGTAAGATCTTGGAAGGTGAAGACTTTTACTAAAGGACTGGAATTCTTTCAGGCTATTGCTAATGTTGCTGAAGCGGAAGGTATAGCCATTTTTGTTAGTATCTTGTGTTTTAAAGTAATCAGATTTTGTACTACAACCTGGAGACAAATGGATTCCGGTGTGAACCACAATTATGCAGTTAGAGACAATGCAACACGTTTATATATATAAAAAAAATTCCTCTATTTTTTACACTCAACAGGTCACCATCCAGATCTGCATCTTGTGGGTTGGAACAATGTGACAGTTGAAATTTGGACACATTCTGTCGGTAAGTGTTGATAAAGCGTATACATATGAGATATGACTATCTGATTTACTTTAAAGGCTTACTTTCTGCTCTATGCTATATCTTTTTTTTGGTTGTCTTGTTGTTTAATTTTCAGACTGCATAAATGAGCATGTTGTTGTTTTCTTACCATCAGAAAATGCTTTGTTCAAAATCAGGATTCAAATTTTTTTTCCCACGTTTTTCCTCTTGAAAGTAGAAAAATATATGCACACACTATGAATTTGAGACTATGGAACATTAGAGAGAAGCTACTAGTGTAGAAAAATATTTGGATCTTCTGCAGTTTTGTATATCATTTCTGAGAAGTTATTCGCCTATTTCTGTATAGAACTCAAATTATATTATACGAAGATTGATAGTTGAATTTAGGTAGGGCTGTCTGATTCGAGAGCTAAGATCCCTGGTAATCTGACGACAAGAACCCTTGAAAACATCATTACATGAAATTAGTAATATTTAATGTTTATATATTTTCCGCAAAATAAGAAATATTCATATCTGGGTGGTATTGGACTATTGGTGCTTACAAAGAAAGGGAATTATGTTCAATTACACTTTAGAATTTAATATATGTTGAAGGGAAGTTTTAGCTATACTCTTGTTTACTTTAAATATGGCAACTTGAGAATACTGTCCTCAGCAGGAAAATATATGTTCTCGGATCTGATACAACCAGCCATACAGGTGTAGGGCCTAGTTTGGCTTCTGTAACCATCTTAGCTTCTATATTGGTTCTATTATAAAGGTTGGCGCTGTTGATTTTGGAAATCATGTTCTGCTTCCATTTATCTTCATCTTTTCGTTTCTAAAATTTGGGACATTATGTATTTGCTTTCTTCCTTCTATATACAAACTCACAGAATTGACTGCTATTAAAACCTGGAAACAAATTTCCCTATAAAAAGCCAAGAACAATGAGAAAATTAACGTGTTTTCAGCTGTTTGACACCACAAGTTAAATACACTTGATGAAACAAGGCTTTTGTAGGTCTCAAAATACATTATGAAGCTTTCCGATTTTCTTGGGGATCTTTTGCTTTATGAAGCTTGTTATCCCCAAGTAGAACACATTGTTAGCTTTCGGCTTTAATTCAGTATGGATACATGCAATATGCATATTTAACTAAGGTTTAACTCCAAGTCGGTCTACAATGTGCAGGAGGGCTTACAGAAAACGACTTCATACTTGCTGCAAAGATCGACACTCTTAACCTTGCACACCTTCTAAGGATTAAGCCTAAGTAAATGCTGGTCACCGCCTTTAATTCCTTAATAAATTTGAGAAAGCATGGCCATCTGGTTAGCTAGTAAGATGTATGCTCTATTTTTCTGTAGAAAACACCAGTTGAAAGTTCACAAAGATATGTGCCTTTATAAATGATGAACAATTTACCTTCCTTGCAACCTCAATACGATTTTGATATACCAGATTACCAGGTACTAAACCTATCATTTTGTTTTTAACTTTTTATAGACCCTTCTAAAAAAATTTGAATGTAAAAATTTCATATGATTTTGTTGTACAATTTAGCTCGTTACTGGAAGAGTTCATGAATTTGATATTCCACAAATTAAATCCATGTTTTGGTTTGTATAGACCTTTTAAATTTATTGTGCATGTAAAATTTCTGTATGATTTTGTTGGGAAATTACAGGTTAGCTCTTAAGCGGTGCAGTTTTACCATAGTGAAAATTAAGTCAATTATGAGGGCACTAAAATTGAATTATTAAACCACAATAAATTATTTGCAAGACATACAGTGAAATTACTACCTCGGTTTCTTACTATGTGCAACAAAGGAATATTTAATGTCTCACGAATAATATTCCTTTGTTTCATATTATAAAAAGGGTATGATCACCAAATATTAGATTTTTAATAATTCCATCCAGCTAACTGATTCACATTAGTTTAAATTAAATTCAGTTCAAGGTTCATAATCAATTTTGTCATCTAGACCACATTTTCAAAGTGAGGATCATTTATTAGTTTTGTTTTCTTAGGAATGATAATAATAAAATTGATGGGAGGAATTCTGAACGGATTGTTTTCATTGCATTATAGCACTTCGTACAGGCAAAAATGCAGTAATCAAACCAGAAAAATTAACTCATGATGCAAATTCACTATATTATATCAGCCTTTCAACAGGGTACTGCCCTTTTTCAGCTCCGCTATCTTGGAAACCATACTAACAATTCTTTCCAAGTTTATCAGGTTTACTTTTTCATTACATAAATTATGAAAAAATGATGCTCTACTACAGAACACTATTTATTTCTAAGCTTAACAGGAATGCCCTAATTTAATTCTGAGCAAAAAGAAAAGTAAAAAGAATAAACATCGGTATGTCCTGTTGTGCATACAATTTGGACTGCATTTTCCTTCCTGGATGCTCCCTTGGGACGAAAGTCATATACCTTTTAAGTTTGCAGCACAATTGCTAGGAGCTATAACAGTTGATGTCCAAGTTGACTTCAGCAACAACACTTCTTCAGAGGACCCGTGTAAGACTGGATATTCTACAATTGATACACCTACACAAGACCATATTTCAGGTGAGGAAAAGAGCAGCAATGTGTTTCAATCCAAGTTTATTAACTCGATAACTGGAGTTAGCAGCCAGAAGATCAAAATGGTTCAGAAATCATAGGGACCAACAATTAAGGGAAGAGAGGAGAGAATTCTAGGACTAACAAAACAATACGTACAAATAATAATTTCAACAACGAAAATATCCAAGCATTCAGACAAGGGACTCTCAGATCTCCAACCTTGCAGGCTTATTCTCCACTAGGAAGTCAATAACCCGGAAAAATTCCAATAAGCCTTTCTATACTACGAGATTTTTCTTCTTGAAATGTAGCTTTTTATCCCTTTCTCGGTTTTTTTTTTTTTTTTTTGGGGGGGGGGGGGGTGTGGACTGGTGGGGAACATAAACACAAAACACCTATAATGCTATACCATCTGAATCTGCTTTAAAAAGGGCTCTTTCCACACAATGATTGAAAATTCTATCAAATTTTAACTCCCAGCTCTCACCTATGATACAGAATGGCTTCCCTTAACATTCATATCATCATATGTATTACCTTTATGCAAAAAATTATCCAAGTGACTACTTAGTACTTACTTATAAGATATCAGCTGGAAAACAAATTAAGAAAATCCACTAATCAGTAAATGGTACGCACTACAAATTATAGACTTCACATAAATACAATCCATTCAGAAAGCTCAATCCCTATGCCAAACAGGATGCACTACACATTGTGCTTCTCCTATAAGCTGCAACACTCTACAAACCAAGCTCTGTTAGTCTGTTACTATCAATGTATCAATTAAGATACCACACTTCCACCTCAGCATGATTCCCTTACTTAATTAAGCTTAAAGGTACAGAGATTTTCACTACCTATTTTCTGATAAGCCCTTAATCTTTCAACTAGACAACCAAGACATGCGAGCCAATATAGAGAAAATATGATCCTGAATATACTTTATGCTCATGTAATCTAAACTTCTAAAGTTCCTTCAGGAAAACATGTTTTTTTTTTCATCTAATTTCAAAACTAATTAAATTATGAACCACCAACTTTGGCATTCCTGGAACAAGAACAAGTATTAACACTTCTCTACACTTATTAATGCCGTAATTAATAAACCTCAACTTCATGCAGAATCACCTTAGAGAGATGTATTCACACACTCAACACCTGGCTAAAGAAAAGGCAAGCCATTGCATTCCCATATTCAGGGGTCGATCATAAAAGACTTTCTACCAACCTTGGTTTAGTTCAAGTAAAAATCAACTTTCAAAAAAAAGCCAGGTTTAAGTTTATAGTCCAAGCTATGCCTAATTGCCTACTGTCAGACATATTAAGTAACAAGATCATTCAAGCAAGTGCTACACTAAAAGTAGCACACCATAATCGTCAAATTAAGCACAAATCTCTGAAGAAAACAGCCTCTAGGAAAATCAAGGATAAGTTTACAGGCCACAAAATTATCCGCCTACACGAAATCCATACAAAGTTGTCGTCGTTGTCATCAAAATATATACAGTATAAAAGTAACAAGATCATTTAAGTGAAAGTAATACTAAAAGCAGTACCCTAAGCAAACAACCTCATCATTAGAGTTGACCACAAAAAATTGCACCAATATTTCAAACACAAATTAGCATTATCATTCCACTCCTAACAAAAAGCACACAAACAAAAGCAAATATGATGAACCAAGAAAACATTTTAGGTACTAAAAGAAAAGAGAAAGTTTTCCTCACCTGTTATATAAGAAAGTATGTAAGAAAGAAATTCAGGTTTATCCTAAATCATCTTAACTTGGGTTTCTGCAAAAGAGCAGTCAAATAAACCTCTCCATTCTTCACACCACTTGAATCCATCTTACTCCCAGTTGCCCATTTCACAATCTTATACCCTAATTTATTAATCAATGGCTTATAAACCTTCTCCAAATCACCCCCTTTACAGAAGAAATGATCAACCCACAAATACCCACCACCCCTCAACACTCTATCAACATCAAACAATAGAAACTCCATCGCCGTAGTCGGAATCCACCTATTCACGGCGTGCCCACATCGAACCAAGTCAATAACACCATCGAAAACCGGTAATCGTTGCTGGAGTGGCGCGTGCAATGGCACCACCCCTCTAATAGCATTAAACTCACTATAAGGAGCACCCAAATTCATTGTTGTAGTCAAAATAGTAACATTCCTTTCTTTCATTTTTGCCGCGAAAGTTCCTGTTCCACCCCCAACATCAACCCCTAATCTAATCACAGAATTAGCCCTTTTAGCAATATCAATAAGCTGTGGAATTGTAAGATCAAGATCAGTTTTATAAGACAAAAACTGGGTTGAATCAAGATTTGGGTCAAAACCCAATTTAGGGTTTAAGCACTTGAAACTATTACAAGTAGCAGAAGGGTAAGAACCCCAGATCACATTCGAATCAGGATTCGACAACCTCGGATTCGATGGAGTCCTAGCAAAGCACCTCCTTCTAGGAAGTGGATGGCAGCCTCTCAAAATCAAAGATTCAGCAAGATTGTTATCTTTAGGACAAGTAGAAAAAGGGGTGTAATTCATGTATTGATGAAGAAGATCAGGAAAATCATGACAAGAGGAAGCAATAGGAGCAAGATTGCTATAAATGAGGAGATCTGAAGGTGGGGTTTTGGTGGGGTTAGTCGAAGCCGATACCGAGGTTTTATCAGGGTGGAGGCGCGTGAGGTGGGTAATGGTGGCGCGTATGGTTTGGAGTTGACGGAGAAGGTGTTGGGGGACGGCGGTGGTGGTGGGGGAAGGTGGTTTTTGGCGGAGGAAAGAGGTGGTGGAAGAAAGGTGGTAGAGTGAGAGGATGTTTGTAGCAACCATTGCTACTAAAAGGAGGAAGTTTAGACCCATTGTAAATGACATTGCCATTGAAAATGGTGTGAATTTGTTGGAAAATCTTAAGGGATTGAGATGAATTGAGGTAGGTGGAGTTGGAAGGAGTGAGCTCTTACTCCTAGGTAGTGTTGTACCAGTGAGGTGTGAGCTCTGTGTAGCAGTTGGTAGAGAAGAGAGAGGGATGAAATTAATGGAGATTTTACTTGATTTTTTATTTTATTTTTTTTATTTTTTATTTTTATTTTTACGTGATCTGATTTTATTATTACAAAGAAATTTAAATATATAAATAAATAAAATTATTAAAAAGAAAACTTTGTAGTTTTGGGGATAAGAAGGTAGATCTTGCTTTAGATTATTTCTTGTGACTTTGGGGAAATAAAGTTAAGTAAAGTTTGTCAACTTGGTTTGGAGAATAAAAATGAAGAGTATCACAATTCACAATTCACAATTCACAATTCCACTTATATCACCTTATGCATGATTGAATGATTCTATGGAGTACTATGATTAAGGGGAGTATTTTGTAGAAAATTAAAGATATAAATGGTAAAATTAAATATTGATAAATGTGTTCAATTAAAGTGTAACAGTTACAGAAAAAAAAAAAAAAAAAAAATACTTCAAAACATACTAATGTAGGAATCTTATTAGATATGTCTCGATTTTTTTATTTTCAAATATTTAGTATTTGTTATAATACATTGTAACACCCCAATAATTCTCCCTTTTCCAAACCACTTACTTTAAATAAAAATAGAGGAGAACGATTGGCATGTTACCGCCACGTGTTAAAACGTTAAGGTTTTATCAAAGTATTGCAGCGGAAATCCAACTTAAATCTTAAAATATATAATTTAGAAACCCAATAAGTCAAAGCTTACAAATTGGAACCATAAAGGCCCTTATTTAAAAACAAACCAATAATCAAAGTCCCAAAACATATTTAAAGTAGTAAAACATAAATAAGTTCAACACAAAGAACGAATACTCTCAATCACACCAATCCCTTGACAATGCGTATGTCAAATCCCCGAACTTCACATCATCAAGCTAACCTGTGCAATACTGCTCCCCAATAATACACATGTAATAATTGGATCATCACAGGGTCATTGAAAGGCGAAGGCCGTGACCAAAAGAAAACACACACAAAAGCACGCAATCAGCAAAGCTGAGTACATACAAGCTACAACGTACCAAGCCTAGCATGCTCAACTAATTAAAGTAAATAAACATACAACACGAATTCATTAATCAAGACTCCACACTTAAACAATTCAATCGACTCAACATACTTGCTAATCAATTCCAAACACTTGACTCTTTATATTTAATTTAATTAATTTAATTTGGAGTAAGCAATAGACGAGGTTGTCCAATCCACCAAATCATCTTGGTCCCAAATGACCATTTAAAATTAAAGTTTAGCGCGATGCAAGAATGGGCGCGACTCCATTCTCACAAAGTTAGTCTAGGATCCCATCTAACTTTCATTATAAAAATAAAATGTAAATACCAAAAGAAAAGAGGACATGTTGATCAAACAAGCCTCGGAAAGCCACGGGCTACCACCGTGTACCCTAACCCATAATTGTCAATACTCTAGAAGTGCACGCTTTCTAGAGTTTTATTGCTCATCCATGTTTCACTTTACGTGATTACAATTTTAATTAATAGCCGACTCATTCAAGAAGACCATACATAACAATCATACATCAATTCACTTTTAATCTTATTTAGGACAATGGTGATCACATCACAAGTTGACCTTTAGTTCCATTAAACTTCCAAATTATCCAAATTGTTGAACATAGTCAACTCACCTAGCCATTTCAGCTTAATCCACCTTTACTCAACATACTAACAATTCATGATTGAGTAATAAAATAAAATAAATAACAGCCTTGTGGAATAATTAATAAATTCATTCCATTTAAACCATTAAATTCCAATCCTTTAATAATCCAAATGTGGTTAACAAACCAATCCAATAAAATATGTTTGTATCAACATTCCATACAAATAATTAATCCAATATAATTCAACATGTTTGTATCCATAATTCCATACAAACATAATCAATTCACCAAAACATGTCTCATAAACATAAGCACATGAATTAATTAAATGTATAACCAAATAATTTTCATCCAAGTGTTCTCTAATCATGAAACTAAGTTCTTTTCTTTGGTACCTAAACATGATACTACTTACAACGAAATAGACATGTACGTACCTCGTATAAACAATTCTTTGTGCCATTTTTAATCACTTAAAAGTCTCCTAGGGAATAATCACCTCCTAGAAAACAACCAATAATCACAAATTAACACTTAAACAAATTTTCAGCAATATAAATTTGATAAAAGATCCTTAAAACTTCATTAAAAACATGTTTTTATGCTTAATTAATCAATAGAAAACCAATAGGAACAAAAGCCCCAATTTAATTAGTCATAAGAACCCTAAAATCCAAATTTAAATAAATTGAAACCCTAGGTTTTAAAATTATAAAATCTGAAAATTATAACAACAATTATAATCTGAAATTATTAGTTTAAAACATAAAAACATGATTTTGATACTAAAAATATAAACTTTATACTATAAAATCAAAACCCAAAACTAATTAATCAAACATTAAGCATAAAAAAAAACTTCGTTAAAAATCAAAAACTGCCCGAAAATCATATTTAGAGGCTGAATTTGGCCACAAGAGGGTGGTGCTTACTACCAAAGTTAGTAAATCTTTCTTAAAACATTGTTTCCACATGGAAAACACTACTTTTTTGTCAAAATCAGATGAGTTCAGAACCTGATCGGGATTAAAACGGGATTAATATTAACGAACCAAAATCTAAACATTAAAACACGAATTTACGTGTTCAAAATAATCTGGGATTAAGTTAAACTAATTAGTAGTATAATCACCAAAATTTCAAAACATCATTACTATAAAAGCCCTAAATCAATTGTTCATAAAAACCCTAAAATCATGATTTTCAATGATTAAAAACCCTAGGTTATTAAATTTACAAAATCTGAAAATTATAACATTTATAAAATCTGAAATTATAAAGTTTAATAATCAAAATACAATTTGATACTAATTAATTTAATTTCAAACAATAAAATCAAAACCCATAATCAATAATTATAATTACACAAATTAATAAAACAAAGGAGAAAGAAAATAAGACTAACCTTTTGTGTGGGGAAATTTTTGGGGATGTATGGGGTATTTATAGGAGAGAGGGTAGTAGGGTAAGTAGGGATATTGGGCCTCATTAAATTAATGGGTCAATTAAGAAAGTAAACTGGGTTTGGTTTGTTTGTTGGACATAAATTATAGAAGGAATGTTCATAAAAAGTTCTTTGTAATAAAATCGTTTATCAACCCCAAAAATAATTTGAAACTTTTGAAATTAAATTCCGAAAAAATACAAATAAATATTATAAATAATATATAAATTCATTTATAATATATTTAAAAATATGGGGGATTACATACATAACCAAATATTGTTGTTAAATTAGATATGTATGACAAAAGTATGCATTAAGTGTAATCAATGATATGATTATACTTCATTTATATTTTCTACTATACATAGGCTAAAGGATTAGTTATATCAATTTCCTATACACAAAATATGTTATACTTTCTCCGTTTCTGAAAATTCGACTCACTTTACATTAGTGCGGTCTCCAACGTCCATCTTTGACCATCAATTTCTTCAATGCTAATTTTTTTTCTTTTGTACAAATCAAAACTTCGGGAAATCAAAACTTCAGGCAAAGTTATATTACTTTGACCACATGAATAATAAGTGAGTCGAACTATAAAAAATGGAGGTCATATGAGATTTAAAAATAAAAGTGATATACTCCTTTTGCATAATTAATAATCGGAGCATCTTAATTGGCACACATATCAATGCACAACTTTGACCATTAATATTTATAATTAAAGAAATATTTACGGGCCTTGAACTGAGCTGAACTGAACTAAATTGATTGGAGCTGAACTGAACTGAACTGAGCTGAAATGAATATTTTATGAGTCAAGGAAATTAAGAGCTGAACTGAATTGATTGGAGCTAAATTAAACTGAACAGATTAGAGCTGAACTGAAATTAAGTATATGTGAACTGTCCCTTAACAAAAAAAATATACATAAAGATTACTCCAAAAAAAATTTGCATGACAATCTTTTTTTTTTTCGGCTATTTCACCAAATGCCACTGACAAATTACGAAATTCATCAAATGCCATCGAACTTTTCAGAATTCACCAAATGTCATTGACAACTAGTATATTAACACAATGTGCCATTAATGATGCCAGGACGTTAGTTGGCCGTTAATGAAATTCTTAATTCATGAAATGCCATTGAGAAGTTTATATATTTCACCAAATGCCATTACTTTTATGTTTTGTTTCCCAGAAAAACCTCTGTTCATATGAAGTGTAACGGCTAGTTAGTTTGAGTTTTTTTAAATTTTTTTTGGACATAATAGTCGTTGCACCGCATTTGTTATATATACAGTAGACTACAACTGTTGTAGGAAATGATTTTTGCAAAATCATGAGCTTCATGTCAAACACATCCTCTTCAAAACATGAGTATGCGTATGTGAGGGTTCCAAATAAATTGTGCAATTGTGGTAGAAAATATGCAATTAGAAGCTCAGAATCAACATCAAATCCCCAAAGGCTTTATTATAAGTGTGATGCATGTGATAGCTTCAAATGGTGCAAGGTTGTGATGCATGAAGAAGGTCAAAGCATGGGAAGTCAGAGCAGGGGAAGCTGTTATGCAAGGGATGGGTCAGGCCAAAGCAATGTACATGAAGAATTGAAACTGTTGAAGAAGAAAATCAAGCAACAGCAGAAAGTCGTGGATTGTATAATTAAATTAGGGGTACTGATTTGTGTAGTAGTGATGTTTGTAATATTGAAGTAAACTATTGTGTAATTGGATTGAAATTTAATAAAAACTGAAGTTATATTTTGTGCCCAAAAAATTGGTTCCTGTTCAAATCATGTACCCAAAAGATACTTCCTGTTTAATTACAAGTTTATAGTCAAAAGATACTACACAAAATAGCACACACAACACTGTCAATCTTCAAAAATTACATGGAGAAACTGGGTGTGCACTAAAAACAGGAGAAACTTTGCATTCATGCTGCTTTCTTTTTTCTGTTGTTGGCTTGAGAGGTGGTGGCTGATGTGCTTGCTTCAGTTGCAGCCCTTTTCTTCCTTGATGAACAAGTGACCTTGTTGTGTCCCAACTCACTGCATAAGCTGCACTTTACTGTTGCATGCCTCTTCCCTCTCCTAGATTCATTTGGCCCTCTTTGTCTTTGCTTCTTTGGTCTCCCTGCAGCTCTTTTCACCAAAGGGGGCAATATGTCAGGTAGGTTCCCTGATGGCCATTGTGATAGGTCAGACATAGGGTGCATATGCTCTGCATAAGTGAGCTTGTATGCCTTCCCTTTGAAACAGGGGGCTACAAAGTCTGTTGGTTGCAGCCTCTGGTGGTATATGACCCTCAGCACATGTTTGCATGGAAGTCCAGAATGCTGCCATTTCTTACAACCACATATGCCAGTGCTCAGCTTGATGGGAAAATGGACATGTTGGTCTCTGACCTCAAATTCATCCCCACCACAGGGAATAGCATAGCATAACCTTGACTCATCTGATCTTGTTTGTAGAATCTTGGCTGCATACTCAATCAGGTCCATATCCCCCATGGTTAGTGATTTGTCAAACCTTGAGCCAATCCTCTTCATCATCCATTGCCTTATAGCTTCAAAACCGTATGCAAAAAAAAAAAGGTGTTAACAACATGGATTACAGTATATTTTTGTGTGTTCAGCTTCAAAACAGTATGCAAACATAGTAGTGTTATGGTTCAAAACAGTATGCAAAAATAGTCGTACCTTCAAGTATTTTCAGAACTGGTAAATCTCTGTATGGCTTGGTGCATGAGTTGAAAGACTCCACAAAATTTGTTGTGTTATGGTCACAACAGAGGGCAGGATCAAACTTATGCCTTGACCAGACCTCAGTGAAACTCTCTAAGTACTCAACAGCCTTAGGGTTATGTAACAGCCATGTTCCTTGCTGATCTCCTCAGACTGACACCAACCCCCTTACCCTTGCTAGAAGCAGTCTTTTTTGACCTAAATCCCTCAGGTCTTGATCTCCCCTTTTTTGCTGGAGCAGATGGTGGAGGTGGAGGTGGGACTTCTGTTTCTTCACTGACAGGTACATGGGAAGGATCAGGGGAGGGTTGTGGTTCAGGGACTGGTGGGGAGGGTTGTGATTCAGGGACTGGTGGGGAGGATTGTGATTCAGGGACTGGTGGGGAGGGTTGTGGTTCAGGGACAGGTGGGACTGGTGGGGAGGGTTGTGGTTCAGGGACTGGTGGGGAGGGTTGTGGTTGAGGAGGGGGTTGGGATCTTTTTTTGGGAGTGGTTTTCTTTTTCCTAGGAGTGCTTTTTTTCCTAGCTGATGGATTCTTGGGCTGGTTAGAAGGAGAGGCTGGTTGAGAGTTTTTTGGTGGAGTTGGTGGTTGTGTACTTTGTTCAGGTTGAGGCTGTGATGCCCCAGGAAATACCACATCAGCTTCTAGGGTGGCAAAAACTCTAACATATTCAACATCATTTATCTCCTCTGCATTTACAACAGGAACCTCAACTGCAACTTGATACTGTTGTTGTTCCATAAGCTCCCTCTCAGCTTCCTGCTCTTCAACCACCCTCTTGGCCTTTTCCAGTTCTATTCTCTCCTTCTCAGCCTTTGCCTTAAGCCTTTTTTCCCAACTAGCTACAGCATCCTTAAACACCACACTAGGTCCACTCTTCTCCTCTAAGAACACTTGTATTGTTTCCCTACCTTCATACCAATCCCACATTTGCAGCATTTGAGTATCCCCAGTTAACTCTAACTTCCTATTAGTCCTAGGAGGCATTACATACAAACTAAAGTATTTGGGAAGGATCACATTTTGCCTTTCTGAATCCTCAAACATGTACTCAAACAAGTCCATTAGACTTGTTCTGTCAGTATCCTCAATCCTCACATCAAACCCCTGGTCTTTGTAATGAACATCAATCCACACTGAACTCATCCTAAGAACAACAAATTACTTATTACTACAATGCACTTCAACACACATCATTCATATCAACAAACACATATGCACTCAAATATACTGATCAACTCGCAAATTTAACTCTCAAGCACACAATTACTACGATAAACACAAACCGGGTTACCCCAAAACACACATTGACAGATTCATACCCACAATTCCAGTTTTTAACATGCATTTTTTCAATATTTCACAAAGGCCAATTCAAATACACAGATTGCACTGATCATCTTGCAAAACCCTAACCCTAACACAATTTTCGTAAAAAATATCAGAATCGAAAAGCGAAATAGAGTATCGATGGATAGATTATTACCTTGCGTGCTATCTCCAACCCCTCAAACTGAATTTGCACTTCAAACTTCCTTCAAGTTCTGGCACTACTTCCTCGCACTTCTGGGTTCGCCCAGAATGAAGAACACCAAAAGGTTCGAACTTGTTGCAGATTTCCGTCGTTCAATGCTCCAACTTTGCTTCTTCGTTGCCAGAGATTTCAAGGTTTCAGTTTTGGTGAACTTTCGAAGAACAGGGGAGAAGTTATGGAAGAACAAGGTCCAACAACAATTGAATAATTGAAAAAAGAGAAGTCAGACAGTCAACTTCTTAATGGCGGCATTAAACACAAAGAAAGGGTAAAATAGTATTTTCGCAATAACGGCCAACTAACGTCCTGGCATCATTAATGGCACGTTGTGTTAGTATACTAGTTGTCAATGGCATTTGGTGAATTCTGAAAAGTTCGATGGCATTTGATGAATTTCGTAATTTGTCAGTGGCATTTGGTGAAATAGCCGGTTTTTTTTTTTTTTTTTTTTTTTTTTTTTTTTTTTATAGATAGGTAAAACGTACTACATGTTAGTCAATGTAAGCATATAGATATCATAAAAGTCAAATTATTGCGATTATTACGATATGAAGGTAGTATGATAAAAATTGCAATATTTTTGAAAATAAAGACTTTAATTTCGGGATACCTAATCAAGAATAGACAATGGGGGGAGGAAGTGGTACATTGACTGCTCCGCATTTAGTAAAAATACATATGGATTGCAACTGAGTTGTGAAATTAATTAAGTTTAATGCAGTACATAATAAAGTGCACTTAGCTAGTTAGCTTACATAAGTTATGTTTTAAGTATGTTTTACAATTAAATACTAATTCTATTTGTCCACAGAGTTGTTGAATCTAACAGTTGAAAATGTAACCGACACCACGTGAATGTAGGCCAACTTGTTATTTGTAATGTAAAAATTGTTTGTGTTTCGGGTGAAAATAATGGGACCTTGTCGTAGGTCCGATGAGGTGGAGAAGACTGGATTCGGTCCAAGTGATGTTGGGCCGAAGGTTTCCTGCACAGCAAACACACGTAAACTAGCCTCGGGGGTGTTTCCGAGGGAGGCCCCTCCGATGCTAAAGTCAGTACAGTGTGTAGAAAGAGAATGCTATACAAGAGAATTAATGGCTTGAGGCTTGTTTTGAATGAATGTACAAATGTAATATTGATAGCTTTTATACCTTTGCATATATGGAGAAGTTGGGCCTTAGCCCAATTGACTTGCCTTGAGGACTGATCTTTGACTTTAGCACAATTGGAGAGTTGAACCTTGACCTTGGGCTTTAAATTGGATCATTTAATGACTAGGCCCAATTGGACTAAATTGGACCCAAACAACTTGCCTCCCAGACCCGATTTGGAAGGATGACGGGTCGGGTTTGATTAATCAGAAAAGGAGGGAAGTGAATGATTTAATTAATCCAAGAAATTTGAATTTAAACCGTAATTAATGATATAACAACAGTTAAGGCGAATAATTGTGGAAGTTGGACGGATAATGGGCGGTTTAATCGCAAGGTCGTGTGTTTAACGGTTACTTAGTGGGGTGTTTAAGAGAAATTGAAACGCGGACTCCCAGAATTCCCATTTCTGGAGATATAATTAGAGGCGCGTCATCTCTCCTCACTTATTCACCAACACAAACCCAGAATTCTCGAGAAAGCCCCAAGAACCCGCGTCAAAACTTCGCAAATTCCCCGAGCATTAAGTTTAGAAACTGAGACTCGTCACTACCAATTCGTAAATCGGCAACTTTCGCTTCAGATTAAGGTAAATTCCTTTGATTTTAGTTTATTTTTCTTCGAATTTGAACTCCTTCCCCTTTTTTCGACTTTTTTCTTCGAAACTCATCCATGGTGAGAGGAGTTAGAGGCAGAACCCGTGCTCCAAGAAGAGAAAGGCCAATTCCCGATCCCAGGAACAGGATTGGGACCTGGAATGGACAGAGAGTAGAGCCTGACCCTGCTGAAGGGATTAGGGCGACTCCCATTTCTTCGGCTCCTCCTCAGAGAACGGAGGGGTCGAGCGCTTCTGGCCGGGACGATGAAGTTCCCGCTATCCTTTGGGACATCCTTCCTGGGTTTTCGGAGTGGTAGGATGCTGAAGTAGCTTCGGCCATGATAAAGAACCGCCCCTACTCGTGGTGGGTAGAGAATGCTGAACAGTATCAGTTTGCCGAGCAGATTGAGTTGCATTATGGCATCCTTGAAGCTGATGGGTATTGGTGCCGAATGCCCGTGGAATCCGATAGAATCCATCGTCCACCCCCGGGGTATGTGGGGGTGTACACAAGACAACTACAGTATGGGCTGAGGTTCCCTTTGGACGTATTCGTCCGAGACTTGCTGATCCATTATAATATTTCCCTATGTCAGCTAACTCCCATTAGCATCCGAAGGGTGATGACATACTTATGGGTTTGCAAGTTCTTCAGGTATGTGCCGAACCTGCACTGCTTCAAAAAGCTCCATCGTCTAGTGCCAAATATTCAAAGTGGGCACGGAAGTCACGGTTCTGGGTGGTACCGGATTGAGTCTCGACCCCAGTACCTAACCATGTGGCCGAACGACTTTTCAGACAAGGACTGGAGAGGTCAATGGATTTGGGTTAGGGCGCCCACGGACCCGGGCCACCCTTGCGTCTTCAGCGCTCCCAGGTATCTTGCTGAGCCTGATCCCGACATGGGAAGTTTAGGTCCCCCCGAAGATAACGGCCCAGATCCGAACCTTAATCAACAGAACATCTTCGGCAAGCTGCCGAACCGGGGGGGGGGGGGGGGGGGGGGGGCAGCGCTCGAATGCAGCATATCCCGGAGACTTGGCTCCCCGATACGCATTATGTCTTCCAAGAGAACATGTTAGCAGCTGTCGGCCTCAGCCGAAAGTTTAGGGATGGTAAGCTTCTTCGGCTGAGGCCGAGGCCTTTTAATTATCTCTTTTCCTCCGTTTTCACTTCGCTCTTTTCTGCTATGCCAACCTAGCTGAACTGACCTTTTCCCTCTTCTTTTTCAGAGCTGGACGAGACCAACGTCGGCATTAACTACGCTCGTCTTGGCATCAACCGAGAACGAGTTGTAACTGATCAGGCCCCCTCTATCACTGAACCGAGGCATAGGGAAGTTCATCTAGACTCTTCCCATTTCCAAATTAAGGCTGTTGCTCTGTATTAGAGGCAGAAGCCTTGGTGGAAGAAGAGAGATCCCTGGTTTCAGCTGTTAGACGAAGAAGCTGAAGCTGCCCGTACGGCCGAAGAGGTTGCACGGGTTATTGATGCTTGTGAAGGAGGAGAAGGGTCCTCCAGGGCTGCTGAAGAAGAAGCTGCAGCTAGGGCAGCTGAAGAAGACGAGGCTTTGCTGAAGACCTCGGTGAGCTTTTAGACTTAGTTTTGTGTGTTTTTTTTTTTTTTTTACTCACATCCTTCCTCCCCCGTCTTTTACAGTCCGAAGAGAGTAATAGACATAGAGAAGGGAAAGCCCCTGTTCGTCCCGAAGACCAGGCACAAGAAGAGTCTTCACACTCAGACATGGATGAGCAGCCGCTTCAGAAAAGGCGACGAAGAATGGCCATCATCGGCCCGCATGACTTTCAGAGGAGGTCGATGACCATCGGCATCGAGATAAGGGAACCTGAGGAAGGCAATAGAGGGTTCCCCGGCCGCCACCTCAATCACCTCCAAAGACCCCTCCGCCACCTCCCGAGATGGAGGTGGATCAGAAAACTCCCGAACTTAAGGGAGGGGTCCAAGAGGAAGTTCAAGAGAGTGCTGCTGAGCATAGAGATGAGGATGATGTGATGCCCAGTGTTGAGGGTTTCACGGCAGACATTGCAAGAGAGGTTGAGGCTTTCGTCCTCACACCTGAAGAAGAAGAAGTCATAATAATTGACTCTGCTGAGAAGAAGGGGGATGCCGAGCCATCCAAGATTCAAGAGGCTCCATCGTCATCCTTCCCTTCCTTCCAGACGCTGCAGTCTGGGGAAATGGGTTTCTCGGCCCCCCGAATTCCAATCCCAGATCACATCTGGGACCTCATATGGGGTCAGAACCGAGAAGGTGTTGCAGCCTACTTCGGCGATTTTGCTGGCATGTCCGAAGTAGATAGGGCAAGAATCTGGTCGCTAAAGGCCACTGCTGGGATGGGCGAATCCAGCAGATCAGTTCCAGACCCAGCCAGGTCTAACCAACTGCTGATGATGCAGGTGATTCTCCTTGCCTTTATCTCTTTTTCAATTCAGCTCTTCAATTTAGTTTCAGTTATTATTATTATATTTTTTTTTGGTTGACTTGTGCTCCTGTTTCCAGTTCGTGCACAATCAGACTTTCACTGTAGAGCTGATAGATACCTTACAAGATAGGGTAGATGCTGCCGAGTATGACAAGAAGGTAGCTGAGGAGGAGCTAAAGCTTGCTAAGCTGAAGTAGGCAGCAGCTGAAGAGAAGCAGCAGAAGGGTGAAGAATATGAAAAGAGAGCTGCTGAAGCCCTTAAAACCTTCTGCGATGCTATGGAGAAGGAAGTTTTTCCCCCACTAATGGAAGGGGAAAAATTCCTTCAAGAGCACATGGGAGTGGACATCTCCAAGTTCAAGGCTACCATTGGGAGCCGAATCCAGGAAGGAGCTGCTGCACAAGCTGAAGTGCAGCAA